ACAGCATGCATTTCCAAAGTACAGCAGAGACACAGAAGGCTTTGTTATGTACATTTAAATTTTTTTAACAAATACCAGTACAATAAGATGAAACAGAGATGTAAGTCTGAATTTAAACTCACAAGGCATGTAATTATTCAGTGTAAAATATATATATATATATACAGTGAAATTTCAACTTATTGAGGGCCAATTTAATGAAAGAAAAGGACAACTAATAATTTGACAACTGGAAAACAATGGAATAAAGTGCATAAGGATCATATGAATTAATGTATTATTACTCTAAACATTATCCCAGGCCCAATTTAAACATGAAGATCTGATTTTTGAAAGCTGTTGAGCAATGTACCATCAGGAGTTCTGTCTTCTTTTATTTCTAGGAATTTAAGGTACAGATATCTTTTTAGATATATCCATTTATATCTTACACATAAGGATTAATGTGAACTGTGATTGATATATTTATCTGTGAGTATCTGTTTATAAACTAAATAACAATGTCTGGGTGCTTCTAACTCTTACCATATCTAACTCTTGCCATATCTAGGTATCACTGGTGGATTGAATTCCTCTGAATTCTTTAGTTTCACTCCTCACTAAACAAGAAGGTACAACACACCCAGTTTCAATGGTGTGGGCCCTTGCCAGAGCGGATGATTCTGTCTCAGTACAGAGTCATTGGAGGGAAATACTTTGAGGGATGGGAAAATCCTTGGTATAACAAGGAGAAAATCTTTTGAAAACGTGCCTTAAAAACATGGCTTTTCAGAAGACCATTGTAAGAAATGCTGACAAGATGGATAATAATAATTTTGATAATGAATTCCTGAGTAAATAACTGAGATAAAGCAATTCAGGCTTTGTCCCTCTTATGAGGGACAACTTTGAAGCTATTCAAAAACTTGACCTTTTTGAAGGACAGTTAATCAAGACAGTTAAAATACATAACTGAAAGAAAATTAAGTATCTACTTTTTGATGTTGAGAGATGGCATTTAATCTCAGGACTCGAAACATTATCAGTCTCTCAGAGGACTTTCAATTCATCCCAACTTTCTTGTTGTATCCTGAGGTAAGGAAATTATTTTCCCAACTCACAAACTAGTTTCAAATACTCAGTGCCCTTTTCCCTAATCTGCTGGGAGCTGTTCTGTACTGACAGCAACAACTTTTTTCTAGCTTTTTTATTGTAACACTGGTTCCCAATGAAGCTGGTTCTTCCTTTGGCAGGTGACATGACATCCATAAGAAATCTCAGTATAAATCAAAGACCCATTTTCAGCCCAAAATGCTCAAATGACTTGGAAGTTCAGGTCCATGCACGAGTTGTACCCAACACCCTAAAAGTAGAAACATCATGCTAACTGTGCTGTTACATTCAAGTTACATGACCCAGCCCCTATAAAAGACCTAAAACTAATGGACATTCATTCAGGGCATCACAACAAAGTTTGCAAGCTGAGCCATGACACTGTTCTGATTTAGCTATATTGGTTTGCATTCTTAAATAAAGACTGCCTTTGGAGACCTGCACTGTTTTCAGATGCATGGTGTCATCGTACCCAGTGTCAGAGGAGACGTCTGTCATTAATTTGCATTACACAGAATTTTTTTCCAGTGTAACCATATTTAGTTAAAGATTGTTTCCATCTGTTCAGCTTTTCTGTGTCTCACAGGTCCAGGAGACTTTTAGAAAGTGTAGTCAGGGACTAAACTTCTGAATTGCATCATGAATTCCCGAAGATTCAGCATTATCAGTAGAGCCATTATAAGCTATATGGCTGACCTTCAGTCTTTTGAAACACTGATGTTTCAAAAATACATATTAATTATATCTATTCTATTGTTTTTCTGTGAGGCACCATGTTTCCTTCAGCTGAAAAATATCTGTGTTGAAGAAAATCAGCAAATGCCCTTTGTTTCTTCACTTACCCTTTTGACTTCATTCTACCAACTGTATATCCATGAGTACTTCATGTTTGCAAAGATAAAAGTGGAGATTTTGAAAGATTTTTCCCTGGTGTGTAACTCCAGTGTCATAGCAGGAGAGCTTAATACATCTAGAGCTCTTCTTGCTTGATTTCTTCTACGCACGACCTCTCTTCACAGGAAACATATTTATTTATTAGGCCTTACTTATTCCCACAATGTACACTTACATTTAGCACATGCAGGCCTAAATCTTTTGAAAATAAGTATTCTGCAAAGCTCTAACTTTGGGGCTTTTAAGAAGCATCCTGTTTCTGCAAAATATAGAGGAAGCACAAAAATGATGGGGAAGTTCAAGAAAAACAGGATTCTCTCACTGATGCACACATTGCATGGGCACAGAAGGCAGAGATTAATAGTTT